ATGGTGATGATGATGGTGTGATGATGATGATGGTGACGATGATGATGATGGTGACGATGATGATGACGATGATGATGGTGATTATGATGATGACGACGGCGATGATGACGATGATGATGTTGATGATGATGGTGACGATGATGATGATGGCGATGGCGACGATGATGATGACGATGATGATTGTGAAGATGACGACGATGACGAGGACGATACCACCAATAAAAAGTAAAGATAACAGCAAATAACGATGACAAACAGCAAAACCATTACCGCGTTGACGATAATGGGCGCGTCCACCCTATTCGCTGCCCAGTTAGGTCCTCCGCTGGTGTCGAGGGCGAGGTTCCAGTCGAGCCAGCCAGTTACCCAGTGGTTTACGTCCTAAGGGAGAGGAAAACGGTGGGTAAGGGAGAGGAAGAAGGTGGGTAAGGGAGAGGAAGAAGGTGGGTAAGGGAGAGGGAAGAGGTGGGTAAGGGAGAGGGAAAAGGTGGGTAAGGGAGAGGGAAGAGGTGGGTAAGGGAGAGGAAGAAAAGGTGGGTAAGGGAGAGGGAAGAGGTGGGTAAGGGAGAAGGAAGAAGGTGGGTAAGGGAGAGGAAGAAGGTGGGTAAGGGAGAGGAAGAAGGTGGGTAAGGGAGAGGAAGAAGGTGGGTAAGGGAGAGGAAGAAGGTGGATAAGGGAGAGTAAAAAGGTGGGTAAGGGAGAGGAGAAAGATGGGTAAGGGAGAGGGAAGAAAGTGGGTAAGGGAGAGGGAAGAGGTGGGTAAAGGAGAGGGAAAGAGGGATAAGGGAGAGGGAAGAGGTGGGTAAGGGAGAGGAGAAAGGTAGGTAAGGGAGAGGAAGAAGGTAGGTAAGGGAGAGGGAGAAGGTGGGTAAGGGAGAGGAAAAAGGTGGGTAAGGGAGAGGGAAAAGGTGGGCAAGGGAGAGGGAGATAGTGGGTAAAGGAGAGGGAAAGAGGGATAAGGGAGAGGGAGAGAGTGGGTAATGGAGGGGAAAGGGGGAAAGGGTATGGGTTGGAGAAAGGGGGAAGGGAGAGGAAAGGAGTAAGGGAGAGTGACAGGGTTAAGGGGGAGAATGGAAGAAGGGAGGGGGAAGGGGGAAAGGGCAAGGGGAGGGAATGGGGAAGGGAGTGGAAAGGGGTAAGGGAGAAGGAGAGAGTTAAGGGGGGAATGGAAAAAGGGAGGGGGAAGGGGGAAGGGGGAAAGGGGAAAGGGTAAGGGGAAGTGAATGGGGGTAAAGGAGTGGAAAAGGGGTAAGGGGGGGGGGATGGGGAAAGGGAGGGGGATTGGGGACGAATAGATAAGATAAAGATAAGATAACCTAGTTTATTCCACGTGTTACAATGCCTATCCCTGTGTTTGGTGTGACATGCTGTCTGTCTTTATCTTGCTTCTAAATCACCCCCAGCGTGCAAGGAATGGCCGGGGTTCCCCTCCACTGGCGGTGCGGGATTTGAACGCGGGTCAGCAAGACGGGGACGCACATTGCAGAAGGGGGGGGGGGGTAAATAGCCAGAGGGGAGGGGGGGATGGAGGGGGGGATGCGGGGGTTATTTTAAAGGGGGGGGGGCAATAGGGTGCAATGTCATGGTAGGTCAACGTTACTGTACATGGACATGTGTTCTGTGGATATTATCGTTGTTGAGTCAGGGAAGATGATATTTTTGATTATAGGAAAGTAGGCGACAAGGGCTGAGTTTACACACCACTAGGCACTGAAAGAAAACGGTAATCTCAGATGAATCTCTAATGAAATGACTCCCATCGTGGCCCGCAGCGGTCGATCGAGCGCGAGCTAATTCAACTAACACTACACACACATAAACAGTTCACACACAACATAATGTTTGTCTTAATACTGATTATGTCACTATCTCAAATAAATCCTTACTCTCTTCACTCTCATACACTCTCACTCTACACACCTCACTGGTAGAGAGATAGGCTGTTAGATGAGTTAGGACTGCATGACTCAGCGGGGAATGTGGTTTCCGATATTCTTGCACGGCTACATATGATTCGCTCTTTGAACTGAACTGTATGGAGAGAGATGTCTGTGTTGGTGTCTTAATCCATAGCCAACAGAGACAGTCGCAACGCCGAAGCCCACGAAGCAAGCCAGAAACAGCAACAGAGAACAGCCGACGCCGCAGACGCAGATACCGAACCAGCCGAGGCAGCCTAAGACTGAAGAAACGGCACAAGACAAGAAGCGAACAGTAGCCGCCACAGAAATCAGACGCGACCACAAGCAGTACAGCCACGGACACCCGAGCCAACTCAGCGGCCCGAGCCGCGACCGAACCAAGCCGCCGCACGCAAGAGCGAGTCACAGCATCCTCATACCCCGCCCCCGCCCCGCAGACCCCCGTCCCCTCACCCGGCCCCCCTTCCTCCCACCGCTTCCTCTCACCTCCGCCTCATCTCCACCCTCCCTTTCTCTCTCGCCCTCCTCTGTCCTCCACCTTCATCCTGACCCTGCCCCACTCACCCACACCCCTCTCC